GCTTTTCCTTTGTGGAGCGGAATTTTCGTTCAGCGTGCCGCTTCCTTGACCTATCCACACGGCCACAGCTGGGGCTACTCCACTAACTTACGGGAGCAGAAATTCCATGTGAAGAGTCACATTTTTCAATCAAAACTTTCTCTACTTTCAACTTTCTACACTTCTTTTTATGCTTCACCTTAGCTGAGATAAATACTGATTCCCATCACTTGGATATAGAGGGCATAGACAGATCAATCAACACAGCTAATTCTGTGAATATAGAATGGGGCTCAAGCTTAAGGATACTTGTTTTCTTTAAATGTAGTGCAACTTCTGAAGTTCTTGGAAAAAGCTTCATAAAAATAATCCTCTCTCCACAAATCTGTGAACTAAGGAAGCATTATACCCATTCCAGAAAAAGAAAGGGTTAAATAACAAAAGAAACTGATGTGCACAAGAGATGGCCCACCCAGACACCACGCAGGCTGCTGTCCCAAGTCTCATGTGCAGTTTATTACACTAGTGAGAAGAGAAAAAGTTGATCTTTAAGATATATTCAAATAGGAAATTGTTCCTGCCCTCATTGCATCAACCCGGACTCTAGAACGGCTCCGTTACTTGAGTGCATTACTTGGGTGCACGGAATTTTCCAGGGTAGCCAACAATATCAGCATTCATCAATGCGTCTGGTTCTTCCAAACACTACAGACGGCCATGTAAATGTCCTAAGATATAGATTGTGTTCTCACACATACGACCTAGTGGATGGAATGAGCGTGTGGGGAGCAAAACAGCCCTACTAAGCATGGAGAATTTGGCCAGAATTTTGAAATAAATGGAAATCAGCCCAGACATTTTGCTCAAAAACAAAAGGTTTAGAGCTGACAATTCTCTGAAGGCAAATTTTATACTCATATTTCAAATGATTGCAAAAAGAAAAGAAAAAGTCAAAACTGCTCTGAAGCATATTACACACATTTTTGTAAAGCAATTAGTATGAAATGAAATCTGACACAAATAGGAAATCCATTTACAACAGGAATTCTTTTAACATATCTATTATTTTTTCCTTAGAAATAATATCCCATGCTTCAGGGAAGTAGAAATTTTACATTTGAAGAAAAGAATGTACTTTAAGAATACTAACTAGGAATCACTGGTCAACCACAATAAGCCATGATATTAAGGCTAGTACATATCCTTTTCTGTAACAATGACAACAGGGTGGAGTGTTCAAATTGGCAATTATAACACCAACTTTTTGTTTTTAAGTCAAACTTGAAGTTTAAGATTACTATCTCTTATAGAAATAAAGCTGTTCTTCAGAATCCTGGGAACTTGCAAGCCTGCATCCAGAGTGATAAACTAGTATCACTGAAAAAAGGCATTATTTTTAGATGCGATGATTGTGTGTTGGTAAGCAAGTAATTTTGCTGCAGCATTTTAAAAAGATAACTGTCCCCAAGTGTCACTTCACCTTGCACAGCTGCAGAAGGAAGGGACGCCCACGTTTCTGCTGGCCAGTACAATCCTGCAGTGTTTAACACGAAGCCTCCTGCACTGCCCCATCTGCACGGGCTCGCGCTGGGGCAGCCGGGCAGGAGCACTGAGTGCCCGAGCCCACTGAACTCCCTGCTCAGAGCCACTTCACAGAAACTTCATGTTTATGTATTAAAAGAAACAACCTTTTTTTTTTTTTTATGGTTACACATTACTCAGTGAAACTTAATCCAAGAGATTATGTAATCTTTTCCTTCTAAATTTCTAAATCAAAGAAAGACAAGGAAGCATATCCCAACTTTTAAAACTTGCATTTAGCTAGCAGTCACACAAGCTAAAGATGAATCTTACCTGGTGGAGTTCTGTCTTCTGTTTTCTATTTTCATTAAAATTTGCACATCTGAGTGAAGAGACATTGTATAGATTTTTAATCTGAAAAAAAAAGTGAGACCTTAAGTGGTATACTTCAGATTTTTCCTTATTATGAGCAAGAGATAGATACATTTTGCATGTCAAGAATAAAAAAAGAATATTTGTTCATAAAACAATCATTTGCCGCGTGCTCAAGATCTGTTATAAATCAGGGCTGTGATTACTACCTTTTCTACTTCTTCCTAAAGAAATGGTTCACTGCCACCACTGTGGTTAATTTTGGTTACAATTTTTTAGAATTTGAGTTGCTTTATTTGACCTTTATGCCAGGAATCAATTTCTTAAACTTCTCCTGCTTAAATGTGGTGTCTATTCAAAGGCTTCATTAGTGAATGGATGGTTTCTATCCCAGGAATTAAGAATATACCACTGCCCAGGAACTCAGTTTAACATACTGTTACAATGAGTTTAACAGATCTCTTCAGAAACATTGTGTTCTTTTATAATTAGATAAATGTGGGGAAAAAAAATCTTCAAATACATACCTTTGACAAACTACAGGATCTGACTCCACTGGATCAATATAGGGCTTAAGGATATCAGTGAGTGTTCTATCCTCTGGCACCCTTTCACCAAAGATAAAAATCAAACACACAAGATACGGTTCATCATGTACACAAAAAGCTCTCATCTGAGTCATATGGAAGAAGCTACATGTCTGCCCATTGCAGTTTGCACGACAAAGTAGTTTGTGGGAGGATTTGAAGTGCGTATCAATACACGTAATTGACAGCTCTGCCTCAATTTCAACACTGGGACTTTGTTAGTACCCACAGGGAGTGAGCAGATGCATATCTCTGTTCCTAACGCGGCAGCAGAAACATGCTGTTCCTACAGCCCTAGCAGTAGGCAAGGCACACCTCTCATTCCCCTTCAGGCTAGGAAAACTTATGATGAGGAAAAAAAAAAGACAGAAAAATTTGCTAATAGAAGTTTTTTTTTCTGGCTTTCCTACAAAGGCACCTATGCAACCACTGCACCCTATATGAAGGCCAGCTTCACTGTGATGGCGAGGGAAATCTGGTTGAACATCTGCTCCATGGGAACAGAGTATCTTAGGTGTACAGAATAGTACCATATTCATATACAGGCTGGTATACTTACACAAGGCTAGCAATCAAACACTTTGTGAAGACACTCAATTTGAGAATAAAATTTCTTCTAGCTTTCAAACTAGAAAAGAACTACAGACCTTCAAATAATTTAAACATAAATGCTTAATAGCCAGAAATATTTGAGTTTACCTTGTTTGAATGAGATCATATCAAAATATTCTGTAGTTTAATTCTAGAACACTAGTGTACACTCAAAAAAAATCTGTTTTTCAAGCTCTATACCTTTTTAACGTGTATTCAGCATGACTGTGAGGAAACACCAGTTTCAAATGCCAGTAGAACTTCTGCTCCCTGAAAAGAAACAGAAATGCATACTTTCAATACTGTAGTAATGCGAGCTGGTTACTCTTGTGTTTTTTTCCAAGATACAGCTTGGTAGCCTGTAACATGTAAGGAAACGACAATATACAGTGATACATTTTGAATGGTACTTTTGAGTAAAAGGAGCAGGCAGAGAACCTGCAAGATGCACCCTAAAAGAGGTAGCAGCTCCTTCCTGTCCTCAGAAGGAAAAAAAAACTCTTCCTTACAAATGCAGGCAAGATATCACCAAACCAACGGATAACAACATTTCACTAGGAAGAGGAAGCATCTCCCAGCTGAGTTACCGTATGCATAGTTGCCCTTTCATTTGAGAAAAGGAAAACGCTTTTTGGCACAGCACCTGGACAGGTTGCCACCCCCTTGCTATCATAAGAGCCAGAGGTCCCAGCCAAGGCCCAGCTCTACACGAATCAAGAGACCAGTCTTTGCAGACAGTGACCATCTCAACAGGAAAGGGGGGTGTGCAAGCAGGGAGCTACATTTTAGGGCAACAGGGGTAATGGAAGTTAGAGGCATTCAATGTTTTATAGAAACACCACACAGAAAGCTTGTGGTAGAGACACAACACTTAGTCTCATGTGCCCCTCACAAACCTCTCCAGTTCATTGGTTGTTCAGCCATTCTCTCCTTCAAGCTTGTGTGATTAATAACTCAGAATAAAAACTACTAAAATGGGGTTGTCAGTGTAATATTATGTTACGAAAACCTGTATTGCCTAGAGGATACTTGTCTAGATCTGGAAACTTCTCTCTGGCTTTGTCACTTTTCTACAGATGAGCTCCTAGAGTCACTGTTGACTGACTTCAGACAAACTACTTTTCTCCTCATAGCTTCAATTTCTCACAATCTCTAAGTGAAAATAACAATCTCTTTCTAAAAGAGCTCTCAAAAGAAAAAGCCCCAACTATCATGGCAACCTACACTGGCTCAGAATTTTACAGTCATGACTGGTAATAAAAATTAGGGGAAAGGCTAGAAAAAAAAAAAAAAGGATACACCAATACCATTTAGAAAGCAAAGGCTAGAGATAAGTCTGAAGTTTGGGAATTTATTATGGCACCATTTTTCACTACATAACACCTATGAATCATTATATCCAGGATAATCAGAAACAGTTTTGTAAAGTTCTTTGTACGACGTTTAAAAATAAAATGCTACTGTTCTGACATGCTGTTTAATTTGCTTATCAGGCGGATGAAACATCATCCAGCAGGGACAAGTTGGCTACCGAAAAAAAATGTACATGCATCCAGTAGCACATACTGGAAAACAGTATACAACAAATTGGTTGCTAAGTTCAGTTAACTCTGATACCACTTTTTAATGTAAACACTTTATAAAGTGCACTTACCAAATAAACAAACATTCCCTTACCAAATATCCCACAACTGAACTTGCTGTATTAAAGTATCCCTTATGCATCTGTAGAAACAACAGCCCCATAACAGTCTGATCTCACAGGCAAGACCAGTTCCCTGCCGGCTCGCCGAGGCAGTGCTGGTTCAGCACTGCAGCTGTATAACCAGCTTGGAGGCATCCTTGTAGGCTTTCACCCTTTCTATCCTTACCAGGCACAACTTAGCCTATGGATTAGTGCTTGGAAAAGGCTACAAATCAGGGAAGTTTGAAGATGCAATGTCATAAAAATGTCATTTCTTGTCAAAATGTTAACACTTCAGAAAAACCAAAGTGTTGGTTTTTCCATCACACTAATAAGTAAATTGGGTTTATTTATTTCATTTCTAAGTGTTCTTGTCTGAAAGCAAATAGTAGAGAGAAAGAGCTAAGATAAAATAAGAACTGTGCAGAAAAATGCAAGGAATAAAGAAACTTAAAACTCATAGCCTCATATGTTCCACTGTAAAATAGAGTCTTGAAAAACAGCAAGACTTATATAAAATGAGTTTCTCTAAGTAGTGAAGATTGGTAACAATCTGCTGGATGCCTATTATTGCAGCAAAGCACTCCTCACCATCAGTGATATCTGCACAATTAGAGAACTTGATGTCAACTGTAGATGTTAAAAGTTGCTTCACAAAAAGTTCAGATTAAAATTAGATATCCTGGCTCCAGATTTCACTGACTTCATTTTCCATTATGGCTCACTAGGGTAGTATTTCCTTCAACTATAATTGACATGTCCTATGTTCATTTTCTACATGAAAAGGCTTAATTGAGTAAGTCATCCCAAGTTGAGTAACGGCTCGGAGCTTAAAGCGTTCCACGCCATTAAGCCGCCATGGAATGCCACTCCATGGTTTTCTCGGATACCAAGGCACTGACTACAAAGCTACCACAGAGCACAGATCTGGGAGAGCTACAGCACATCACTGATGTCACTAAGAGCAGCATCGCAGCCCATCCCTGCACCGCCTGGCTTCACATCCTATTTTGGCTACTTCAGAAGCATGGAAGCCAGTTAGAAGGAGAAAGAGAAGCCAAGGGCCTCTTCTCCCACATGAGATGTAGCTACAAATTATGATCTAAACCGAACAGACTGTTTTACCATTACTGTTCTTCTAAATCAAATTATCTATTTCCCTTTTATTTCTCCTAAAATTCCACCCCTCAGTATTTTCAGTATTTGTTTCTCTTTTCTTCACCAGCCACTTCGCACAGCTCCACATAAGCTTTTTCAATTTTTGACAGCAACAACTGAAAATATTTTTCATGCTGCAAAGGTAGCAGAAACATATATAGCAGCTGTCAACTTCGACTGGTTTTCCGAAGAACTGCCGGGATTCTCACTGTCTTTTACAGTTAATGCAACACTCGGGTGCTGTGTGCTCCAGGTGCTGTGGGTGCAGGCAGTACAGCTGCTAGGAAGTAAAGGAGAGATGGACAAAGGATTCAGGGACCAGAAGATGCCGGTTAAGTTCCTTGGAGGAATTTTAGAAGGATTTATGACTGCCTGTTTCTCAAAACATTTATGGAATATAACTTAAAGCTTAACTTTCTGACCTAGGTTTCCTTTAATACAATTTTGTCTAGATTGCTGCAGAAGTCCTTATATTTCTATGTATTTTTTTAATGAAGAATCTGACTCAAAGTTCTAAACTCACCACACTGTAAGATACAAACTGCAATTCTGGCTTTACAAAAATACTTAGGGTCAGCCTGCGAAAGACAGTTATTCACTGAGCATTTTGCTTCTACTTAGCAACTAACTCTCTAAAAAAAGAGCTTTACAAAAAAAAGTGCATGAGATTACCTTACATCAAAGCATAGACAAATACTGTAGTATTTTTTATGTTATTTTGAAATAACAGGAAACAGAGAAGTTTAATGAAGGACCATTATCCTCCAACTTTGAAAACACCTACAACTCTTATCTGGTGCACCGAATTTTAAGTGAAATACAGCACACTCAGTATCTACTCCTTTGAGTAATATTGCCTTTCTTAACTTTTTTAATCAATGAATATTCAGCAACTGACTAGATTCTCTTGTGAAAACAAAAAAGCCCCATTAATATACGAGAACACATAGTGGTTTGATTTCATAAATAAGCCCACAGCCACAGCACATAATTAGTTTTGCAGCTTCCATGAACTGCACACAAAAGAGGATGCCCCCACTTAGCTGAAGCTTCATTAAACTAATTCCTAACTAAAATTTGATGGATAAACAGTAAAACCAAATTATTTCTACTAAGAGCTGAAGTGTTTCTTAGTTACAGTAAACAGCAAGAGAATCCATGAAGAAATTGAAGTGCACTTCCCTTGTAACACTTATAGTCTTCTACCAAGGGGCCTCCCAGCAGCAGGAGGGCTTACTAACCGTATGTGTTGCAATAATTAAACATGTTGGAGTTGAACTGAGAGTCCTGCATAAATCAAAGGGACACTGTCAAGGCCGAGTCACCCAAACCATAGTTATCTTAAAAGAATGAAACTCCTGTCCTGTTTATATTCTGCAAGTTTCCACAATTTCACTATGAGAGTTAAACATTTCAGCTGTTAAAAAGGTTCCAGCTCCAGAGCAAGCGCTCATTCTCTGAACAGCTGCTGACCCCACTCTTCTAGATTTAATAGGTCTAACAATGTAACATTAGCACAAAATACAGCTCAAAACTTCTGGGTAGATACTAAATATCAGCAACACTTTGATTTATTTAAATTATTTTAATCTAGTTGAAGATAAAGATTTGTTTGGGGCTTTTAAGTGCTCCTTGAAGTAACCTCCATAACGCTAGTGATCATTGATACAATGCTGCTCCTAGGCCCCCATACTATATTTTGTGTTCAGTATTAAATCGAAGACCAGAGATAAAGGGAATGAGTCCCTCTCATCCCGCTCCCAGGTGCTCCTCAACCTCGCCCCAACCCACCATCCCTTCCCAAAGGCTCCCTGTGCCGGCAGAGCATCCCAAATCCACAGCAGCCTGCTTCCAGGAGGGGAATTATCAGCTGCACTGGGAAATGGGATATCACAGGCAATGTGTTTGAAACCACGCTCCACAAACATTGGGAATAAACACAAACATCTTAAGCATCACCTCTAAATCTGATGTCTCCTTGGTAAGAGCTCACTGTAAACTGGACTTAGACTCCATTTTCTATTTGCTCCCCCATTAATTTGCTACATTCCCAAGACGACAAATTAGTCCAAACCTAGTGTTACCTAGCATTGGCACGTATGCTTTCACAACACTGGATGTAGCAAACAAACTAACCGAAACCAGGAAATGAAGAGTCTGGTTAATTCATCCAAACAACCCCTGATCTGTCCTCCAGGGCTGGCAGGGCAGGGGATGACACAAGAATACATCTTGTACTTCCTACTCTTGGATTACTCTCATTCCTGCCTTGTGCGGCCTAACGGCTTGGCTCACACGGAGAGTGTGAAGAGGACATCAGGAATGACTGTTCCCAGCTTTCTGCGCACATATGTGGAGCAGCTTCCCATATCCGGAGCAGTCACTCCACAAATCCTCACTGGCAAAAAGCAGGCACAGGGACTCGGCTGTGCAGAAGGGCAGGCACACCAGAGCCTGGGCACTGCAAAGTGCTCCCTTGTATAAAGCTTAACTTTTTGGCAAGTATTACAGTTAAAGGGCTAATGGGTGTCATGGAGTCCTGTGGGATAAGTGCCGAACGGTTAATAGTGTAGCTGTGCTTCAGTCAAACCTAAGGTTTGATTCCTCGGGCACCCACATAACAAAAGAAGGAAAAACGTGTCAACTTAAAAGTAAAGGTGCTTAGCTTTTATCTAAACCAGTGAATTCAGTCCACACTGCACGAGCAACAGCATTAGCACAAGAGGAAACAGAATTGCAACAGTCTGTACTCGGACCGGTTTAAGCTGTTAAGTCTGGTAGCTTAAGCTTTGTGGTGAGCTGGTTCAGAGTTTATCCAGCTGAAAAGTGCCCCTGGAAGACAAAAAAGGGAAAAAGGACTTCCTGCTATATTCAGGTTATATTTCCCTTTTAATAAAAGGAACAAAGGCATATTGTAGCAAGGATTGTTTCTTCTACTTGTCTTATGCAAAAGCATAAACCTGAAAACAGGAAGGTGCAGGGAGTTTGGTGGTTACTGCTTATCCTTTATCAGCCAAATCACATAAAAATGCTACTCTTAATGTGTGAAGTGGCACCTCATTTCAAATGATGAACCTGCATCTGACCTGAGAGCCAAACTCTTCCCTGAGTCAGCTCAGAACAGCTCACCCTACAGCACAGTAATTTTGATAATGTTTAGCACAGAAACCATCTGAGGGATCATAACAAAATGACTGATCCCAGCAAAGGCAGCATCTACCAATCTTAAGGAAAAGAATGGGACAGCTCCCCCAACCAAACATATCTCAAGAACCTGATTTTTCAAGGTGTTATAACTTCTACTTTTGACCTGTTACTGAGTCTACTGTTGACCTGCCTCCTTTCGACATTTAGTAAACATCAACACAATGTAAGGAAACACTGGGATTTTAGAACTTAAAGAAATAACCTTTTAGCAGGAAGAAGTTCTAACACTATCACTGACTAAGTTTCTTTTCTGCCCTAAAGGACGTATAAAATTTCAGCTTTTTAGCCGCAATATGACTTATTTCACTATAGGCTATGTACTGCAATAATTCAGAACAGGCTTTTTTCTTTTTTTTCCTCCTTTCTAGAGGAAACTATGTATTACAGTGATGTTTTACTCCATTTTTAAGCACCTACATTTTGCAGTAACCACAGAACAAATTCTATAGCCTTGAACTACATTGCAGGAAACAGATGGTTACCTTCCTGTCCTCTTACAAATGGAAAATATGACCAAGTCCTTTATGATGAGACCTGAAAGTCCCTTATAGGCTAACACTTTCAAGAAAGGACTGTTTTTATTGAGAAAAAAAGTAAGGTATTTTCCCAGGCAGTAAAATACTTCCTTGACTATTTGCCAATAAGTCACCTTCCTTACCCCATTCACTTAGGATTAAAATCTGCTTCTGTTAGAAAAAACAACATGTGAATGCTTAATCCGCTCAAAGATTAATTCACTCCAAATAAAAGCTCTGTTTCACTACATACTCTAAAAAGATTTTCCAGAGAACAAAACCTGAAAAACATGCTATGTCAAGGCAAATTTTTGTCACACAGGATTGTACTATGCCCAAAATCCTACCAAGAAGGACCAAAAACTTTTTGCCTGTTCTATTCTGTTCTATTCTAAGAATGTCTGGGCTCTTTACACTTGCTCTAACTCTTTGAGACTCCTCTTTTACTCTGTATTCCTAGGGATGTTTGTGTTGTGCCAGGTATCCATGACATTTCGGAGATTTTCCAGAAAAGTTAAGCTCACCTCAAAGCTTCAGATACCTTGTGCTAGGCTTGTGCTGCTAAAGTATCTATAAAGGATAGGGTACAAAGCCAAGAAAAAAAAAAGTCACCACAGAGGCAGACAACCTCTGCTTCCTTGGCAGCACCAGCAAGGCTTGGGGCTATCCTCTGGTCTTTCCTAAGGAAAGAAGAAAGCCTCATGTATGCATAAATTTAGGGCAAAGGGAGGAGAAAATATCCCAGATTCCCTTTCCTCCTATGGGTTTTTCCATGTTTTTTTTCTCTGGTAGCTAGAACTGGTAAAGTATGTGCTTTAAAAAGTCACATTTCTAAACTTCTTTTACGCCTTATGTTCTGCCAAGAATAAGGTATCTGCAAAAACAAGAAATGATGCTTTCTCAAAAGAAAAGGTGCAGGAGCGTCGGCAGCAGCTTCCCACCTCCGTCGTCACTTTGTCAGGGAGCGACACCTGGCGGCCAGACCCTCAAGGCTGCTCAGATGCCCCCCGGGACGAATTCAGACCCTCATCACGACGTGCTCAGTGACAACAAAATATTGCTGACCGCAGCTAGCCAGGGACTCACTTCTTATTGAAGATGGTTGAATTTTCTTTTCTTTTTGTAAATCCAATGGGAAGAGTTTTCAGGTTGATATTATGCCTCCGAGCTCTATTTCTCAAGTAATTTATCTAACGAAAAATAAAAACAACATTATTGAACATTAACAATGTAATCAAAAGTTAAAATTAAACAAAAATGAGTAATGAAGTAATGAGTAATGAAGGGAACTTTGGAGAAGCTATAGAGAAGGCCACATTTAGTGTGGCCTTTTACTTTTTTTTAAATCATGATGAAAAAACGTTAACAAAGGAAATTATGTCAGATATTCTGAGGTGAAGTTTTCCCAGGCTTAAAAAACACCACATCCGAGCTCTTTTTTTTGAACTTAGGCATACCATGAAAGACACACGCAGCCCCTGTAGATGCACCACCACCCATGGAGCTGTTTTAGGGCTATAACCCAGTCAGCAAAAGGGATGGACAAACACCGTCTCATCCACTCTGACAAAATAGGATTTGGAGGTGGCATTAAGGATAGAAGTCTATAAAGGTGCCTACTACCTAATGCTAAAAGCTGCTACCTTACATGGCATCTCATCAGCTTCAGTGCATGTATTCTTACAATATCCCTATGATCAAGAACACACAGACACAGCGCGTGACTCCAGCCTAAGAAAAAGTTGAAGCCCTGCGAATTTATTTTGTAGTAAAACAACAGCATGAATTCTCTCCAGATGAACACTTTAATGCTACACTTACATGCCCTCAGAGCCTGGAAAACAACTTTCTTTTTTGGACATATCAACGAGTTTTTATGACTTATCAGTGAGTTAAAATATGTTAGAGTGGATTTTTTTTCCTCCCCTTCCTCATCTTGTTCTTCCCAGTTTTTGTCAAAGGATTTTTAGGAAACATCGTCTCATTAATGACTCAAACAATCTGAAGAGTTTCAATCAAATCCCTTCCTATCCGCAGCAGGTTGGCTTTTACTTCTTTGTCCCATTATGAATGAATCATTTACTCATTACAGAGCTCTACTTGCCCTCCTTTCATACGTGTCAAAGCATGCAATAATTTATAGGCAACTAACACCCACTACTTACATGGGAATACTTTTCTTAAAGAAAATGTGAAGGTGGAAGGAATGAGTCAGGATTTCTTAACACACACCTGCCATCAAACAGCAAGAACGGTCATATCAATTATTTTAAGAGCATACACTTTTATCAGTTTATTCTTCTAAGCATTAGATGTAGCCAACATTACTAATTCTTACATAAAGCTACAGACTTCTTTCGATTTCTGTCCCTAGATGTCCGAGTCACTCATGCCTTCGGAGGAGACTCATGAACTCTGAAGCCTGGATGGTGACTGTCTCGGTGGAAATTCGAAGAAACTCAACCTCATTTCCAACCAACTAAGTTCCTAACCTAAAACTTACAAATTTATTTGTTGTTGGCCTGTGCACAGAAACATCTCGAGCAGCAGCATCAGCTGTCCTTCCTACATCTTCCAGGAAACGGTAATCTGAAGATAAAAGAACAGAAAAAAAATTAGTGCCAACCCATTAAAAAAGGTGAATTTTAAAAAGCACAAAGAATAATCTTACCACTTAGAAGGTTCAAGTCAGTAAATTCATTTACTGAAACAAATGCTGTTTTATCCCTGACTCCATTACAGCTCAGTGTAAGCTTATGCTTCTTTACACACAACAAACTGAAATGACACACAAACAAAAAATTAACAAGTCAGGTTGAACAGCATAAAAACAAAGAAGAAGAAAAAAGTTAATTCAGATCATAAATACCTGCAGGAGTATTTCATGCATCGTGGGCATCGGTACTTGGCTTCCTCTTCACCACAGGTCTCGCACCTGAAGGAAGGAAATCATTACGTCTCCAGGAAGCTTCGGAGGCTCCTGCCCCCTGCCAGGTGCCTCAGAACCGGCACCAAAGCAGCAAGGGGAAACGCAGCAGCCGCGGGGACCATCTCTGCAGTGCCCGGCCCTGGCAGCACGGCAGGAAGCGGCGCGCGGGGCCGGCGGAGGTTCCTCCTGGCGCCCACCGTGCGCCAGGGCTGCTCGCGCCCGCACCTGCGGGTTCCCCTGCCCTCGGTCACGCCGGGGCCCAGCGCTGCAGCCCGCTTCGCGAGGAAGCAGGGCGGCCGCGGGGCTGCATAGAGCTGCAGCTGGGAGCCTCCCGGGGCGGCTTTGCCGCCCTGCGGGCCGAAAACTGCTGCGGCTGGAAAGGGCGCAGAGCCCTCCCGCCCCCGCAGCGA